GAGCGTCAGCACATGGGATGCCTTGACTGTGCGGCGTTCACTGTGTACACGTTCATGATTGATGGCTGACGTAATAGCTGAGTGTTCTCCCCTCCCCTACCCCCCCCCCCCCCCGCGCGCCGGTTTTGCTAATCTATGTCAGCTGACCCTAACCGGCACTGCACATGTTCCGACAGTACACAAAACAACGGCAGCAAGAGCAAGGGCGATGTGTGTGGCCCCGCAGCGCGGCTGTACAGGCCGTACTGAGACGCGCGCCAGACCAGCGACCGGCCCTGCCACCAGGCCGCAGCGGCCAGCGTTCCGCAGCATGGCGGCATGACTTCGCGGGCATTCGGCCCTCAAAGCGCGGCCGTTACTGCTTATGAAACCAATTTGCATTCGACAACCGCATCCCTCCTTGGAAGTCGCGCCGCGCACGGCAAATAGGGCGTCCATATAACCGCGCGAGGGGACGGCCGAGTACACCTTCTGTTGCTCCGCGTCCAATACCGCCAGGGTCGATCGGTCTCCCATCCTATGCCGACGCTGGAATCAAAGTGCCGCCCGCCGGCGCACAAAGAGCCATTGTTTCATAGCTCTCGAGGTTCCCATCGAAGACACTCGGCCGCAGGTGCAATTCAGCGACCATTAGCGAGGGAGCCGCCGCCGGCTGTCACGCCCGAAATATCAAACAGCCGCCGGCACTCGCCCTTTCACTGCTGGTAATAACCACCACCAATTTCCTCGAAGAGCGCCTGTGCCCTCATCACGTCATACCGACCACACGTCGATCCCGCTACCCCCCCCCCCCCACCCTCCCTCACCCAAACGTTTTGCCGACCTCTCCCCGTCCACGTCCCCGCCACCCTCCCAGGAGCGCTCTTCCTTGCAGAATGCACTTTTAGCCAGCTTTTCTTTAGGGCGACGAGCGCTTTCCCGGCCAGGTTTAAGTTAGAGCCTGACAGGCCTGACTCATTTACTCCCAAATCGAATAAACAGGCTGCTGAGAGGGCGGCTGCGCGCCGGCTAGATTGGCCGGCTCGGTGCACGGCCGTCGGGAGTCGGGTGTGACCGGGCCAACCAGGCGGCGATCAATGGACGGCACGGCCGCCGTCGGACCGCCGGTCACCAGAGACAGGTCACATCCCGAGGAATCACCGGTCACCCGAGACGGGTCACACAACGGGAGGTTACCGGTCACCCGAGATAGGTCACACGACGGGAGGTTACCGGTCATCCGAGACAGGTCACACGCCGGGGGAGGGTGGTCACCTGCGGCAGGTCATACGCCGGTCACCGGTTACCTGAGATAGGTCACACGCCGGTCACTGGCCACCTGAGATAGGTCACACGCCAGCCACCGGTCACCTGAGATAGGTCACACGCCAGCCACCGGTCACCTGAGATAGGTCACACGTGGGGCCGTCGGTCACTCGAGGCAGACTGCACTGGGGGCCAAGACAGATAGGTCTTTCCACGCCCGTGGAGAAGACACCCTGACCTGAAGGTGTTTCCTGGGACGATGCACAAGCCAAGTAGTGTGTGTCAGCGGACCAATGAGCCAGTTCTGACTGAATGTAAATACGCCATTAGGCACATAGAGACTGCAAAACGCTGCAAAGGATGTGCGCAGGGCGAGAACATTCCAAAAACTGCGTAGGCCACAGGTTTTACAGATTTTGTATCACGCATCATTAAAGAGTTATGCTTAACCCCGCAAAAAGTGCGTGAGCCTGGGCAAGTCATCCTTCTCCCCTCCTCCTGTTCCAACACACATGAAAGCCAGTACCATTGTGTACATCAATGCGTTACGTTAGACGTATGACTGTCAATTCCAAACCGATTTAGGGATTGGGACCCACAAAAGATCTTCCAATTTCATTTCGGCTGTTACGAGCAGAGACTTCTGATTCCAAAAATGATTTTTTCAAGCCCAAAGGTCCGGCTGGTTGATGAAATATCGGTAGACATGGAATGTTACTGCTTCGCAACAAAAATCACAGATTCACTGAAATTGTGGTTTCTTTGCCTCGCACTGCACCAGCCAACAAATCCTTTCTCACCGGTCATTGTCATGGAAGCTCTTTTCCGGCCCAATAAGCCCTCAGCAGCCCCAAACACAGACGACCGTAAGCTCTCATGCTGACATCTTGGCACCAAGACCAAAGAGCACGCGCCATAACACATTACATGGCGGCTGTATCTGAGCTCACTTGAACAGACCACTTCCACCATTCGTTTTGTTTATATCCGTTTGGCTAAAGCAACAGAAATAGGTAATCCCGAGTCGAGACCCAAAAAGACAGACTTCGATGGGTGGCCTTGGTCAACTGGAGTTTTCTAACATTTTGAAAACGACTAATCTACGTATAATTGCATTCATGACAACCTCATTACCAGAATTAATCCGTACAGAATCCGGCAACAAGGCCTGAAAGGAAAACGAGCTAACCATTGTGTGACATTTGCTCCGAGGTCGTGTTGGTTCGCAGACGCTGGACGGAGGAGTGATTCAGCTGCCTGACCACACCAGTGACACCCTCCTGATCGTGCCAGTGTGTGACTTCTGACCTACATCGCATCCACTTCATCTGAGGAGTGATTCAGCTGCCTGACCACACCAGTGACACCCTCCTGATCGTGCCAGTGTGTGACTTCTGACCTACATCGCATCCACTTCATCTGAGGAGTGATTCAGCTGCCTGACCACACCAGTGACACCCTCCTGATCGTGCCAGTGTGTGACTTCTGACCTACATCGCATCCACTTCATCTGAGGAGTGATTCAGCTGCCTGACCACACCAGTGACACCCTCCTGATCGTGCCAGTGTGTGACTTCTGACCTACACCGCATCCACTTCATCTGTAGCACGGCCGTGGGTTCTGACCACACCTCGTTTCGATATCAACAAGAAGGAACCACTTGATCGGAATTTGCAAGTTTGACAAGCAAGAAGGACATGAACACAGAATGGACAGATTATACAAAGCCATCCACTCTTTGCTGGCATCAGACAGCGGGGCTAATAGACGTATTCCCAGTTTGGGGCGCCAGGGTCTATATTTGTCGTCTCCTCACAGCCGATGCAGTCAACATTGGCCTGATCTTGACAGGGTCAATACTGAATTTGTCAAAAGTCGGGGGTCTAGGACCTTTTTGGCTGCCCCATTGGCCCCCCGTCAGAGCAAGATACAACTATTGAATCTCTGGCAGCCGCAAATCTGAAGGCATTTCAGGGAGACCCTGACGGCTGGATAGTTGGAATTCCAAGTGTTTCTATTACCTTGCAACTCAGTGAGGTATTCAAAGATTCTAGTTTGGTTAAGTGTATTATTCATGAAAGATATCCCTAATATTCTGCAATGAGTACAGGGTTTCAGCTGTCACGTATTTTTTATGAATGTCGGCATTCATCTT